ATCTCATCCACCCCCGGGGCCCTGCCACCGAGGAGCTTTGTAACCACCTCGGTGACCTCAGCACCAGAGATTTTTTATTATCAAACTGTTATTCTCCATATTCTTAGTTTTTTGTGTTATGTTGATTCTATTTTTGATTCAGGTTAAATTTGTAATAAAACTTAAAGACTAACGCCGCCTTCTCCTCATCCAGTAAATATTGAATAATTAACAGTGTTCCCTGTAAATAACTGAATTTCACTTTAGTGGTTGAGTTGTGACCAGTGAAAGTGTGAATAAATTAAAGAACCTCTAACTGGTCTGTGAACTGACCTGGAACTCACCAGGAGCTCTGATTGTAGTAAAGTGAGGTCAATAAAGGTCGCCCTCGTTAGCTCGCTCTACTTCCACACAAAACTCTTTCAGCGGCAGGTGATCAGGAGACTTTATGAAAGGTATTAACTTGACATTTTCAACCTTGTGTTTAGCAAAACATGTTGTTAATCTCTGTACACGTTAATGTCCATTTGGCCGCGTAAACATGTGAAATAACGTGAAAACTTCTGACATCATTCAGACATCAAGCTCCATCAGAGAACTGCAGACGCTTGTGAAGAACATGCATTTATTTGATGTATGAGTTTGAACCAGGAGACATCCGATGTGTCAAAACTTCTCCCAGAAGTGACGTCATCGAGGCTCGGCGTCCTCCTGGAAGCGACATCATCGAGTCGGGACGACAGAAGCGGCCTACGGCTCTTTGGTGCAGACAAAAGAAGTCTTCTGGCTGCAGTTCGCGTTGTTGATGGAAGCCTTTCCTGCAAAACAGAAACTGAATCTGAACCCTTGAACTTTGTTAAAAACTAACTAAAAGAAAGCTGAAAGCAGCAGAAATGTGTAGAAGAAGCTGAATCGAGCAAAAACCCCTGAAATTATTAGAAAAAGGCTGAAATGTTCCAACCAAACTCTGAAATCAGCCAAAATAAACTAAAAGGAACCAAAATGCTCAGATTAGATGTAGAGAAAACAAAAAAGCAGAGAAAAGCTGAACTTTAAACTGAAACAAGTAAGAAATTTATAATATCATCAGAAAGAAGACGAAGAACATAAAAAGCTGAAATTATCAGGAAAATAATATTTATTAGCGCGCAGTTTGTTTTGGAGGTTGTGCTGAACTTCTACTACAAACTTCAGCTTCAGATGTCCAGTAACTGAACAAATATATAAAATCTTTTTTTAATTTAAAAACTGGTTGAAAAAAAGCAAAAATTTTAAAAAAGGCACAAGAAAACCTGAAAACAGCTGAACAAAGCTAAATTAGCTGAGCAGTGGCTGAAAACAGTCACAGTCCAGACGCTGAACAAGTTAAAAATAAAGAATGGTCAGAGATGCTCATGTTTGAATCAGAATCAGAATAAACTTTATTGGCGTCGCACCGAGACACCGCGCGAACATGCAAGTCGTCCGAAGATGGGCGGCGTGCACGAAGCTGCGGCGTGCACGAAGCTGCGGCGTGCACGAAGCTGCGGCGTGCACGAAGCTGCGGCTATAAAAAGTGCAGCCCTCGTTATTCTTCAGAATAATATTTTGCGTAGATGAGAAAAGGGAAGAAAACACGAGGAGAGACGGTTTAAAAAAAGACCTCTCAGTCCGTGTCCTGGACAGGGCACGACTTGAGGCATCAACCAAACCTGCCGCAGCAAAGCAGCGTGGACAGACGTTACACGTGGACAGACGTTACACGTGGACAGACGTTACACGTGAACAGACGTTACACGTGGACAGACGTTACACGTGGACAGACGTTACACGTGAACAGACGTTACACGTGGACATCTAGGCGGAGAAGACGTTGAATCTTAAGGGAAAGTCGCAGCAATGCTGCACGAGACGAGAGGGACGCCACATTTCATCAAACTTAAAGCGCGATTTTAGAAAAACAATTCAAGATTTCAAAAAGCCGAAACAATCAGTGAAACTTTAACGATTCTTCGGTTGTTTCAAGTTTGAATGGACTTCAAGCTGAAATAGATTTTAAACGTCAACAGTCTGGATTTCACTGAATGTGTTTCAATGAAGAAAAAAACAGCTGATAAACAGAATATTTCAAAAATTTAAATCATATAACGACAAAAAGTCACAGCTGTGATGTCCTGAACAAACTAAATGTTTTGATGTCTGAAATCGACTGAAAACCATGGAAGGAACTACATGCAGATATTTACAGGACTAGAAATGAATGAATAAAGAAAAAATTAGGATTGCAACTGCGTGAATGTTTAAAACACAATAATTAAGGATCACGACATTCTGAGACACGTTGCTTCGAGCAGCCCAGGACAACATTTTAAAAACGGATCTTACTTAATAGTGTTTAGAGTGCGAGTGTCCAAAGTGCGGCCCGAGGGCCAGCTGTGGCCCCTGGAGTGATGATGTGCGGCCCACAGCTGCAGTTTAAGAACCGTCTATATCACGGGTGT